CACTAAACGTCTGCGGAGCCAACGTGTATTAGACATCGCCTGGGAGATATGAGCACCCCTTTTCCCCCTTCCCCCCCCTCCTTCCTTTCTCCCTCATCCTCATGCGATTCCCTGCTGGCCCCGGCAGCCACTCCCATCAGCTCAAAGTGTCGCCAGACGCGACGCGCGGTCCACGTGGGAGGTAGAAAAAAGAAACTAAAAGATTTCCGACACCAGAAGAGACGAATTTGCACCCCCCATCCCATATTTTTGTGAGGAGAACTTGATTTGCGTGACGGAAAGTGCTGGAAATATGATGTCAACGTCTTCTATTCAAACTGGAAAGGTAGACGGTCTCGGTTGGGTGTCTTTCCACGCTTTGCTATTCAAAGTTTATCCGCATCTGCCCGGTCGACCGTGCAGCCAGGGTGAGGGTCGGGTTGGACCATACTGCGACAGGCGAAGAGGAGAAGCTTCTTCTCTCCTGAGTGGATGTCCGTGTTCCAGGGCCCAAGTCACTTAAGTGCCGAGTCGTACTGACCTCTCCCCCACCCTCCCTCCAGTCCATCTGTGATCCCTGCCCCCAGCCGTCTATCATGAGACGCCCCACCCCTTTTCATCACCTCCTCCCCCCTACTTGCCGTACTTGCCCCGCTCGGCTGGAACCAGGCCGCGTGCATGCTGGCTTTTACACGGGCCGTCAATACGTCACATCACTTTCAGTGGAGGTCCTTGGAGCCCGGGCGAAGCGAAGGACGAGAAACCCTTTCCCACACCCCAACTTTTCCCCCGGACCAACAATCTTCGTGTCGACGACTCTACTTGCCCTTTCCGATGTCTATCGATCGATTTTAATAACAGTGTTTCTTACCCCTTTTCACTTTCCTTGTATAACAGATCTTTGGAGCGTTCCTGGCGTGGGAGACGAGGCACGTCAGCATCCCAGCACTCAATGACTCCAAGTACGTTGGTATGTCGGTGTACAACGTCGTCATCATGTGCGTGATGGGAGCTGCCATCTCGTTCGTCCTTTCGGACAAGCAGGAGGCGTCCTTTATCATCATCTCCTCCTTCATCCTCTTCTGCACGACGGCCACCCTCTGCCTCGTGTTCGTCCCGAAGGTAAGTACGCCCTTCCTGTTTTCGTCCCGGCGCTCTCCAGGTGGGCAACACGGTCATAAACTTGCTAAGAAATATTACAATTCCCTTTTTCGATTGCGAAGCTTTAGTATTGCAACTACTAAAGCATTGCAACTACTAAAGCATTGCAACTACTAAAGCATTGCAACTACTAAAGCATTGCTTCACAATCGCGAAGGACGTGGTATGTTGCCCTGAAAGGTTTTCACTCGGGGCCCCTTATCGCACCCCTAACCGCCGTTTTTCTTCAGATCGTGGAGCTGCGGCGCAACCCGCAGGGCGCCATCGACAAGAGGATGATCCGCGCGACCCTGCGGCCCATGTCCAAGAGGAGGGACTCGACCACCAGCGAGATGGAAGAGAGAATTCAAGAGGCCAAGGCGCTTAACGCCAAGAATAGGAAACTGCTCCTGGACCGAGAGAGCGAGTATCAGGTAGGTAAAGTCGTGCACTGCGTGGCGTCCTCAGAGAGTGTCGCGTCATAATGGCTGTATTTTGTGTGTGTGTGGGGGGGGGGGTCGCGCTGAGAGGAGCCTTTTATCGCTGTTTGAATAAGCGTGCCAACCTGAAGTCTGCACAGTGGGCATTCATCGCATTCACATTCATATCATAAAGAAGAACGTCGGGATGATTTCGACTAATTTCCGCCAAGTATGTAATGTTGAAAACAATGGTCTAATCAGGCGCAATGCTCTGGATTTATTGGCGATGCTTCCAGGTGCGTTTAAAGTTCAGTGTCAGGCGATGGATGGACCACTTTGTTACTCAATGTACACTCTGAAAAATATTCAAAAAATATTCAAGATATTCTTGAAGTCTTCCAGACTTTCTATGCACATCAAAAATCTGAGCTGTCGGGACCCCTCGCTGTCAGGTGTATCAAGGAAGTCTTTTTTGCAGATGCTGGTGAGGAGAGTTGGAATGGACGGGCAGACTGTAATAGAGGGTGAACCAATGGACAGGTTGGCCGTGCCAAAAACAGAAACCCTCATTAGAAGAGAAGGTAAGAAGGTGGTTGTAACTGGTTTTGTTGGTATCTATTTCACCTCCGCTGTTGTTTTACCCTTGTTTGACGTCACATTCCAGGAGTGCTGGGTGCGCCTTCGGCCACCGAAACGACTGATATCAGTTCCATCAACTCTTCGGCGGAGACCGAGTACGTCAGCCTTGGTGCAGAGACTCCCGGCCAGAGGTGCGCCCGTCCTGCCGACCCCGCCAACCCTAGACCCGCCTGACCCTTTCCTGCGTGTGTTGTGTTTGTGTGTGTTTGTTGTGTGTTGTGTGTTTGTTCGAAAGCAATCACCAAACATAATTTCCATTTGCATAACTACTTCTTACCCGTGAGCTGTCAGCAGAACACTCAGGACAGGCTCAGAGACCACGAACACCAACGTTTCTCTCACATACCTACAGCTGTCATTGCAATCTAGAAAAGGGGAAGATGAAGTTATTTTCTGAACCACTTTGCTAAAATTTTACATTCACTTCATATCTTTTACCCTCTGATCCTTTAGGTTGGGTTAGGATTGGCGACCGGCGGGCCGGACTTGTACAGTACGGCGGGGGTACATATTCCTTTGCATGGTAGATTCTTTTACATAAATTGAAGATGACTGATAAAGTCTCCGCTAAGTAACATGTAATACTTTCTAAACTTATTTTTATAACTTTTGCCAGTGGCTTAAAAAATGGCTGCGAGTTTAGGTAGTAATGGTGACAGTAGTCTTTTCTTACGATTATGATTCTTGAAAACAATATTGAGGTCAACCGAATATTTGTTTGCATAGCTTTTGTGCATGGTATATTCTTTACAACATACTGGAAGACTTAGACCTTTCTTTTCTTTAAGCTATATATTCCAGAGAATGAGTCATGGAGAACAGCACGAAGATAAAAGACGCATGTGCGACCGTCGCGAGTAGCATGGCTCTTTTAGTCTTCGTGCTGTTCTTTTTCATCTGTTCTCTGAAATAGCCTCATTTCAGTGATTCTGACGAAGACATTGAGTCGTCAAATATTTGAACCACCAGCCATGGGGGAGAATATTGTATAGTATCTCAACACGCTTAAAATGCTTTAAACATCGCTAAATGAAATTTGCTGACACATTGCTTTTAAAATTCCGCTGAAAATAATACATTCCAACTTAACTGTTCTACTCCCCGACTCATAGACGCCAGACTCCTTTAAATTGTACTTTTAAATCACTTCCGTGCTGTATCTTGTATCACAGTGGCAAACGCCAGATACACTTAGTAGCTCACATATTTATTAAAATAATAATACAGCGTCAGTAGATAAAGGTTAAGTAGTTCTGCAAAGTTCCTCTCATTTTTCTGTCGGGTGTTGAGTTTTAGCTTTGCCTTTCCATCCCGCACCCCCTCCACACGACTATGTGGAGAACCTGTTAAATGCAAGAGCTATGCGACGGGGTTTTCACTTTAGTAACACTTTGTACACCTGCCATTTAACCAAGATTGGCGTGATACCTGCGACTAGTATTTTCTCAGTGTGTGCATGCCTTGCTAGACTTCTTTTAAATGTGCAACCGTATAATAGCAAGAAATGTTACGAGCCTGCGCTGATTATCTAAGTATGTGCAAGTGCTCAACACTTGTAAGTGGGCAAATGCAAGTTAAATACTTGCAATGCTCAACTGCAAGTTGAATACTTGCAAGTGTTAAACTCAGTAGGTGTGCACTTGCAAAAGTGTGCACACAATTCGTCGGGAAAGCACCTCCTACGCCGTGAGCGTTCAACCTAAGGGAGTGCTCAACCGAGGAGTTGCACACTCGCAAGTGCACACCTACAGAGTTAAACACGTGCAAGTATTCTACTTGCAGTTGCCACTTATATGTGTTGAGCAGTTGTACAGTTAGTTCATCAGTGTGTTCAATACAAAATAGAAATAGTAAATGTAAACGTAGTTTATTTTTGCTTTCTTTCTATATACAAAGATAATTTTTGAAATTGTAAATCTACGTAACATTAACATTACAGATAAACAGTCTTAGCTTTCAGAAACGTGACTTTTACTACACAATTTGGTCGTTCGGCTGACAACTAAAGTACGTTTCTAATGTTTTCAGCCGGAAGAGATCGTTGGTAGCAGCAGCGAAGATCGCCGAGGAAAGCCGACGAGGTTCGATAGCTGCTATTGCGGAGCAGACTCCGAGCAGACGACCTTCCACCCACGATATCTCGGGGGGTCTCTACGTGCGGGAGGTTTGTTGGCGCAAATAATTGGAAATATCGGAACGACTTTTCACGAACTTCAGTTTGTGGGCTGAAGAGCGTAAAAATCATTGGAATTCCATATAGGCGTTCTCTCAAGCATACATTTTATTGTGTTCGTCTGCTATTTATTTTCGAAGGGCGCGTTGTTAACACATAGTGATATCTTGCAGGCTAGCCGCGACTCGGAGCCCCGGGAGGATGACGAGGACGGCGCGGGCAGGTACCCACCATCCTCGCCGCCCTCCTCCACGACGGGCGGCCCGGGCGGCGGCGCTCAGCTCTCAAAGGTTGTGTCGTTTAGCGACGTTACGGACACGCCGTACGACGACGGCGACTACGACGACGAGGGCGAGGACGAGGAGGCGGCGGTGACAACGCCGCGGCACCGTGCGCACCACCACCGCGGCCACCGCCACTCGACGGCCGCGGGAACAGGGGCGTCGCCGGGGTCGGCCGGCGGCCAGGGCGCGGCGGTGCGACGCCGGAGCTCGGTGAAGAGCTCGAGTGAGAGTGGAAGTGCGGGCGGGCAGTGCGCCAAGCGCAGGACTAGCGTGCCGGCTGCCATGATGAGGGTGGGCGAGTCGCACACGCTGGGCCGCCGTAGCCCCAGGAACCCCCAGTTCGTGCACCAGGACGAGCTGTGGCTTTCGCAGCGGCCGTCCAGGAACACGTCACCTAGTGGGTCGAGCACGCCGCCGCAGCACTCGGGTGCGCACACGCCCCACGCCCGCGGCGGCTCACCGCACGCCTCGAGCCCTTACCTGCTCAACGGCGGGGACGAGGACGAGCGTGACATCCGGGACCGGGACCGGGGGACGGCGCTGCACTACCTCAGCAACAACTCCTCCACGCCCAGCGTCCCGGCCGCCGTCATGGCGGAGCGCGAGCGCGCTTACGGTGAGTGTCGAAGAGATTTGTTGACCTCTGACCAATGCGAAATTAGCACCACTTGCAATTACCTAGAACGAGAAAGAAAGATAAGGCAGATTTTCTAAAATAATATTTGGTGCTCCTGCCTGGCACACATTTGGCCAAATAATGGTGGAAATGTTATATCAATTAATCCATGACCACTGTTGGAACCACTCCTGGCAAATCGCAGGATATGTCAAGTGAGGCGCTGGATGATTTACTGTTATCATGCTGAAAGTTCACACAAATATTAGTCGGCTGCAGTAGACGCCAGATGCCTGAAAGTGGGCAACCCACTTTACATCGCCCCTCCCGTCAGTGGAGCTTGAAACTGCCCCTGAGATTTCGGATCTAGTGACCGATTTCACGGTTTGACTCGAAGGTAAAGGGTATTCAGAGAATGTAGACCATTCCAAATCCGGCTCTGTAGCTCAAACGGTTTGGGAAAAGAATTCCGGTGGTATCTTTAATCGAAGGGTAACAAACAACAATCCAATTTTTTTATGGGTGGTTTCGAATTAGTTTCTTCTTATTTTTCGAATGGTGTAGTAGGAGTTTACCTTACTGCAAAGCTTTATAGAGTGTTACCGCTATACCAAAGCACCAGTCAAAGCCGTTGTCTTAGTCTCGAAACTTCCGTAAGTTCTGGAGTACTGGAAGTGGCGTCAATGTCAGTCATCTCAACTGACTGGTAGTGCTCAACGACCCTACGGATACGGTTACGTGCTCGGGGGCTGATATTTGATATTTGATATTTTGATATGCTGCTGGGTAGGCAACCCAAATAGGTCGTCTGCTGCGCTGTTGACCAAGCCGCTGATTCGCATGAGCTCGCGCCTCCTAACGCGGACACCTTGCTCTGTTCCAGACTACGGCTCTGAGCGGGGCTCGGACCGGGGGTCGGACCGCGGCTCGGACCGGGGATCCTCCGGAGGACTGATCCAGAGGGCGGCGTCGGAGCGGAGCCGGGAGAAGTGCTGCCACCACGGCGGCGGTGCGTCCGCGCCCCACCACCACCACTACCCGGCCTCGCAGCCCAACCACCACCACCACCACCATCACCACCACTCGCACCACCACCACCATTCCCGGGGGCGGTCGAGTACGGGTGGGTCTGCCGAGGACGCCTCGGTAGCAGTGGTGAGCGTCGGGCCTGACCGGTCCTGTACGCGGCACGCGCCCTACCGCCCCGCGCTGCAGCAGCAGTCCTCGCTCGGCCACGTGCAGAGCACCCCCGACGTGGCGCGCCCATACGCGCACCATCACCGAGACCATCGCGACCGCCAGCACCACCACGAGGGCGGCGGTTTGAACTCTGCCGTGTCGGAAGGCGAGCTCCTCGATCTAGCGATCCTCCCTATTTTCCAAAAACTGCTGACGGAGCGTCACAAGTCTCGGTCAGGCTACGGCGCGTCCGTCGCCAGTTGCCCGAACATCTCGATCAAGTGCGACATAGTCGAGTATTTGTGACGAGCATCGCGATGCGTGCGTGTGCCTTTGGACTTCTTTTACTGAATTTAAAATTGCGATTATTATTGCGAGAGTGTTGTTGTACTCGATGTCAATTTGTTTGCGTTTTATGTCTCATCTTTGTTTTCTCAACTTAAATTACTGTCACAAATGGTGAGTGGTTTCGGTGCGAAAATGTAAACAATTGTTTGTGTATAATGTGAGTGTGAAAGAGTTAACCCAGGCAGGCCCGGTTAGTGAATGAATGAGTCGTCTGGCTCTAGACCTACTTTCCTTACGGCTGTCTACGACATTATCCCCTCCCCCCCTCCCCCTTCCCAGCCCCTTTCTCGCCTTTCCCTTTCCCTCCCCTTTCTTCCCCT